AGAGCGGCTTCCCACGAGCTCTGCCCCGCGCAGAGCGCCCCGGAGGGCTCCGCCGCGCGGCCATGGAGCCCCTGTCCCTCCAGGAGTACATCTGCGCCCTGAACCCCTCTGTGCTGCCCCGCGTGCTCAGGATTTGCTCCGGGGTCTACTTCCAAGGTGAGTGCTGGGTCCCTCCCCGCTCCGAGCTGTGTCCTGGCTCCCCGGCACCGCAGCAGCCCAGGCCCCCCTGTCCCACCTCTGAAGTGGAAGCCCCATGAGAGCTCCCAGGTGCCTGTGTCCCGGGGGAGGCCCAGGTCCTTGTGCGGCTGCTGTAGAGGCAGCTGCTGCTGAGGAACTGAGGAACCACCTTCCCTTCCACAGCCAGCACCCACCATGGCCCCCGCACCTGCGGTCGTGCTATCGGGAACGCGGCGGGCTCTAAAACTTGTCTCAGTTGCTCCTCCATCCCATGCTCAGCTCTCATCCCAGCGGCAACCAGCAGTGACCCCGCGCTGGCCGTGGGGCTGGCAGGAACGGAGCCGCACGCTTGGTGGCCACAGGATGGTGGGACAGGGTGGCTCTTGGCCCCAGTGAGCTGAGAGTGGCAGGAGCACAGAGCCCTACAGCCTGGTCCACTGCGCTCGGCCTCCTCCTGGGCCCGACCACGGAGCAGATTTTAGGTTACGGTGAAGTCCTGAGCAAGGTGGATTCCTCCCGTGGCTGCTGCTGAGATGGAGGCAGCGCGAGGAGGAGGCAGGAGATGGGGTCGCACGGCCGGACCGTGCCCTGCCGCGCACAGGCGCTGATCCATGGTGTGAACAGCAGTGCAGGACTCCCCGGAGCACCTGCAGCGCGTGGACAGCCTGTTCCGTTACTAGAAGGAGCAGGGAAAGCTGTTGCACTGATCAAACTGATTCCCTGTAGCTCATCAGGACGGATGGTCACCTTTCTCAAAGACTTCCCTTGGCCTAATGTTTTAAAGCTGCTAAATGCGTAAAAATGCCATTGCTCAGGCAAACAGCAAGAGTTAATCCGTTGAGCAATTGGTGTGGTGAGGAGATAACTGGTGCTTTCTGCCGCGCTTCGCAGGGGAGGTGGCCGTCATCGCAGCGCGGGGAGACAGCTTGTTGTGCACAGGTTGCTGCAGCAGCTTGATGAATTCAGATATTTAAGGGCCGAAAGGGCTATTGCTCCTGTGGGCTGGTGTCGTGAGCTGGTATCGCAGCCTGAGGAGTTCTGGCTCCTGGAGGGACAGCTCATCCCAGGGCAGCTCTTCCATGAGCGACCAAGCATGGAGTGTTTCCTGGTGTTTGGAAACAGTGTCTGTATTTTGCCTTTGGATTTCGGCGTTTGGGCTTCCTGCTGTTGATGCTGTCATACACTTCTGCACTGTTTTTCTTCTCTTTTATGACCCTCTACCCCATTATCAGCCCTGAGGTTTTCTAGGATATGGGCTGTACAAGATTCCCGGTTTTACTGATTCCTTAGCAATAAGCAGTGTCTCTCGCAGGATTCCTTCTCTTGGCGTTGGCAAACGATGTTTGACCTTATGGGTAGATGAGAGCGTAGTGGGGACTAAGCAATGTTGGTAACCTTGCAGATACACCATCCTAATAGTTCTTAAACACTTCTTCATTTGTTGTCATTATTAATCATATCATTTCTGGCTTCCACCAGCTCTTTTGGGTAGGAAAAATGTGGAGGGCAGGTCCCACAGCGGTTTTAAGATGCATGTTCTCCTCAGCCCTCTCTTGTGCAGCCGTGGATGCCCCCGGCACCCTTGGCCCTGTTCTGGGTGGGTTTCCGTGGCCCGCGCAGGGCCAGCCCGTGCTCCACATGGACACAGCCCCAGCGGCAGCCCCGGCCTCTCACTGCACGGAGCCTCCGCGCGCTCCCGAGCGCCTCGCGGCCGCCGCGGGGCCGGCCATGCCACGTGCGAGCAGCAGCTCCCAGCTGCGCATTTACTTCCTTTTTCAATAATTTCCTCGATGCCGTCATGGGGCCACAGCACATGGGAGGGGCCCAGGGCTTTCTCAGACCTCCCCACTTTCACTCCTCCTCCCCTGCTTATTTTTTTCCACTCTTCTCACTTGCACTTGCAGTTTCCCCCTTCTGGCCAGGCTGCCCGGCAGTTGCAGGGCTGTCCCACACGGCCGTTTCCACCTACCAGCGCTCGCTGGTGTGGCAACACCTGGAGCATCACCTGAGCCCCTCCTGGTGGCAGGGGGACCCCAGGTGGTCCCCAGTGAACGTCCATTTTCAGCTGTGCTCCTCGTGCCCAGTGCTGCCCTGGGAGCTGGGACCCTGCAGCAGCGGATTTTCACAGCGTTTCAGGGCCTCTTTGTTTCACGGCTGCACATGGGGCCACCAAAGCTGTCAGCTGGCCTGGTTCGTTCATGGGGCACCTCGTCAACCCCATGTGCGAGACCCGCCTGTCCCCAAAGGGCTGCCACCCATCCCTCAGCCCCTGCAGAAATCCCTGGGGCTGGCGAGGCCCCTTTGCCCCACACCACAGCCCCGGGCCGCAGTCACGGGTCCAAGCAGGACACCAACGCGGGAGCCGGCTCCCTCGGGGCTGTTCACCCTCCAGGGCACCAAGGCCAGTGCCCCAGCTGTGGGCACAAGGTGTGGAGAGCTTCGGGGGTACCCAAATACAACCCCGTTCTCCTGTTGAAGCAGCAGTTTGGGGCAACCTCTGCCCAGTGGTTATCGTAGCACCTGGGGAAGAAATGAGTCAATGGGGCAGAAATAACCCCGTTTCCTATCAGCTTGAAACCAGCAGTTGATGTGGTGGAAGGGATGTGAGTTTCTGCACCCCTTCTGGGGCAGGGAGCCGGTGGGTGCCCACCCTCCCCGCAGGGACCCCCCTCTCCATCCTCCTCCCAGCCTGGCCCGTAAGAGGCCGTTCCGCAGGGACGCAGCAGGAAAGCTCCAGGCTGCGAACGGAGCCACCTCGACAGTCCCGCAGAGGCACCCAGCGACACGCAGAGCCCGGCCGGGCTGCCCGGGACAGAGCCCTGCTCCCCGGAGCGCGGCCAGGCCCTGCTGCAGGGAGCGATCCCCCTGGAAGGTTTCTGGGTGCAGCTTGCAGGGGGAGCAGGGCTGGCTCTTGCTCAGAGCAACAGCAGCCGCTCAACGGTCCCTTCCTCTCCCGCAGGCTCCGTGTATGAGATCTCAGGCAACGAGTGCTGCTTATCAACTGGAGATCTCCTAAAAATTATTGCCATCAAGCTGCAGAAGGTCGTTTGTGAGGACGTGGAGATGGGGCAAACAACGGAGCTGCCCCTGAGCTTCCAAGGTGAGCGGGGCAGAGCCCAGCGCAGCCCGCGCGCCCCGGCCCTTGGCCTGTGCCTGCTGCAGAGGGCTGCCCCGGACAGCCCCTCTCCTCCTCCCACCAAAACGGCCATGGGGCACCCGCCCAGCCCTTCCCCTTGACAGGCAGCTCCGCGCTGGGCCCTCCTCCAGCACATCCATGGGTGCCGTCGTGCACACGGAGCATCCCGGAGCTCAGCCTCACCTTCCTGCAGGTCTCTTCCAGCCCAGCCCAGACCCGCGGCCCTACACCAGCCTGGAAGAGCTGATCCAGAGCAAGCGGAGGACCCAGGAGGCTCAGCCCTTGTGCTTCATCTCGGCCGCCGACCTCGCCGTGGAGAGGCAGGTCATTCCCAAGGCGCAGCCCATCTTCCTGCAGGGTCTGG